ATTTACATTAATCATTAGCAATAAAACTTATATTCGTACTCTACTATATGAATTATTAACCCTACGTATGTCAAGTTTGTTTGACCGTAACGTAGTGCGGTATCTAACTAGTAAAAAATTAAAAGAGTCGGGGTAGTTCACTATTCATGGCACTATTTACTCGGATTCATTTGTGTTATTCCCCCATACTCATGTGTATTATTTATTTTTACTATACAATGATATTTTTGTTATTTCTTAATTTTTTTAGCTTTTACTAGATTTTTTGCCCGCGCTACGTTGTGGGTAGGATAAAATATATACAATCATTTAAAAAAATCATTTTAATTTGATATTCTGTTTTATTGTGTGAATGTATAAAAATATATGAAATCAAAGGTGAAAAAATATTATAATTTTTTTAATGCAATTTGAAATTAAATGGATGAATTTTTTTTAAAAAATGACAAATTAAAGTAGTAAATTTTAAATAATAAAAATAATCAACAAAAAACACTAAAAAAAAATAGGATCAAATTACAATACAATTAAAGTTTGAAATTAAAAAAATATATATTGCATAAAAAAATTGAGGACAAAATAATTTTAAATTAATTGGATGAGAAAAGAATGAATAATATTAAAATAAATAAAAACTATCATTAATGTAATTTTAAATTAATTGGATGAGAATTTGGAAAAAATGGCAAATTAAAGTTATAAAATTTAAATAATAAAAAATTAAATAAATGGGCTAAATCACAATACAATTAAAGTTTAAAATTTTTTTAAAAAATTGTATAGAAAATTTGAGGAACATATAATTTTAAAGTAATTGGATGAGAATTTAAAAGAAAAATGACAAATTAAAGTAGCAAATTTAAAATAATAAAAAATAATTATGAAAAAACACTAAAATAAAATATGACCAAATCACAATACAATTAAAATCTAAGATTGAAAAAAGAAGAAGTATAAGATACTTGCGCCATGGTGCAATAAAACAACCGTCGCATACGTAAAACTAACTATTCGTATGATGTAACATGAGCGAAGTTTTATTTCGATGATTGATCTAAATAGAATCTATATATTGAGCAAAATTGTTTGATTTATATATATTTATTAACAAAATATTTAATAATATTAGCATGAAAATTTGTATTTAAATAATTAAGTGGCTCTTTCAAAAATTATCTAACTTATTTTATTAAAAAATAAATAAAAAATAATTACACACACACACATATATATAAAGAAAAAAAGACACACACACCTAATACACACACACACATATAATTTAGTGTATAAATTATAATAATATATTTTAAAAAATAAAACGTTGACGTTCTAAAATTTTAATTCAAAATTCATATATTAAAAAACTAAATTTATTAACAAATATAATTATAAAAAAAATTAATTTGATGTGAATTTTAATAAGAAAAAAATAATTAAAAAAATAAATTTAAACAATAAAATTAATATATATATATATATATATATATGGGGAGAGAGAGGGATTCGGTTGGCTTGTGCAGACGGGTTGCACATTATAATAATATAAAAAATGAGGGAGGCTAGGCATGGTTGGCTTATGCAAGCATCCGGACATGCTTGGGCCTCTATTGCGGGCCGGCACGCCGAGCCTTGCTTACAAAGGAAAAAAAACCCGCAACTTTCGGCGAACCTAAGGTCATTGAAAGTTCGTTGAAAAATCGAGGGTCAACTTTCAAACCCTTAGAAATTGAATTTCGGTATCATTTTTTTGTTCCAAACACCTCTAAATGACCGGAATAAAGCCAATAAAGACATCTAAAACCTTAAAAATTATTTTAATACACACAAAAACAAAAAAAAATATAAAATCAAATCGTATTTTTTTTCCTTTTTTGGCTCCGATCTACATCTTCTAATTGTTGAATGGCTTGAAACCATTATTGACAAACTCATATCTCAAAGATAAAAAAAATATAGTGGATTTTTGTGAGGCAAAGTGGCTTAAATGAGCTTGGCCGCGATCTCTCTCTTCCTCTTAGCCTTCTCTTTCTACCCGGGGACCAAAATGGATGAGCAAATGAACGTGTGGATCAAAATATGCGTTCAAAAATATTATAGACCAAAGTGTAAAAAAGATCATGAATAATGAAACGCACAATGAATTGTGAAAGGGTGAATAGTGAAACGTGAGAGCATGTACGAGTGTTTCAAATAGTAACAATAATCGAACGTTTTCCTTTAGTTTTTTAGCAAATATATGAATTTTACTTTATATTCCATTTTGATTCCTAATTTTTTCAAAAAATATATATTTTTTTGCTTTTGTATTTTTTTCCAACAATTTATTTAAATTTCATATAAAAATTTTACATTATAATTTATTTCGGTCTTGGTGTTTCCCAAATATATATATATATATATTGCTTTTGTTTTTTTTTCTAGTGATTTAGTTTAATTTTTTTTTCATTATTGAATTGGGTGCAAAGATTATGAAAAGCTAATTGTTTTTTTAAATTTTTAACACAAGTCGACGATTATGAAATATATACGATATATTTTAAAATTTTACAATATATATATTACTCTTATTGTTTAAAATTGTTTTTATGTAACTTTATTTGTTAATAAATATGATTAATTTTTCTCTATGTATGGATTTTCAAACAAGTTTTTCAATAAAATAATAATCAATTAAAAATAAAATTCACATATGTTATTTGCTTATTTTTTATATAATTAAAATTTATCGGAATCAATTTTATAATTGTTTAGTATTACAGTTTATTAACTTCCATATATTCATTATAATTTATGTTTTTTAAAAATATTTTTTCGAATTATGTTGCACACTCTAACCTATTGAGTATAGTCATGATATATATATATATATATATATATATATATATATATATGAGAGAGAGAGAGAGAGAGAGAGAGAGAGAGAGAGAGGATCATTGGTTTTATTAAAAATTAACTATGCATCTACACATAATACCAAGCATTTGATATTATTTTTTTTAATATTTTAAAATAAATTTATTTCTAATAAAATAATTAAAATAATGTTTTAGAATAACCACCTAATAATTCAAATACGAGTTTTTGTTGTTGTAATATTATTAATTATTTTGTAAATAAGTATATATAACTCAAATGTACATATTTTGAAAAAAAAAAAAATCTTCTCATCAACTTTAAACAAAAATAAAAAAGATTCATTTCTTAATTTTTATATAAAGTTTTATATTAATTTTTATTTTATTTCTTTGTTGCAATCTTATAAAAAATATTAAGATGGTGTTTTAAAATTTTATATTAAATTATCTATTTAGATTATTATAAGTTTTATTTAATAATAAATACGCAATTAAGACAAATCATATTTTTTTAACTACAAAATTTATGAAAAGCATAAAAAAGAATAAATTAAATATAAAATTTTGATTAAAAATTATAAAATTAAATGATTTTTTTTTAATTTATATATTTTAGTTGACCAATAATATGATATAGGCTATCAAATTAAAATAAATATATTTTATTCGGTTAGTAATTTAGCGTGGAAAGCCGCCTAGTTAATCCTACGAAAAAACAAAATTAAGCTCTACATTCTTTTTTCAATAATCGGCATTGCATGTTGTCTTAAAATTTCAAATTTCTAATTTTTATATACTAGTCCTGTTGCTAAGCTCTCAAATTATCATTTTAGATTTGAATGTAAGAAAGAAAAAAACCGTAAAAAAGCTTTTTTTTTTTTTAATGCATGGAATGGATTTTCACGTAGATAAAATCTTTTATGATAAAAAGAATTCAAAAATCAAAACCCTTGATTCGGGTTAAAAATTCTTGTACAACGAGAAACTTTATAATACATAAGGAGTAACAAGTGACATATACGAGTAGTTACTTTTTGGGTCCACTTCGAGGAGAGAGATAGACACACAAAAAGAAAGAGAAAAAACAGGAAAGAGAAAATAAAAAAATTTGAGCGGACGTGAAAATCTTCTCATCACTTTTGAAAGGTATGGATGTAATTTTTTTCTTTTTATGTGTTTATCTTTCTTCTCAAAATGAATCCAAGAAATAACCATTATACATGTCACTAGTTACTCGTTTGGAAGTTTCATCTTTGCCCCTTCATGTACCAAATTCGGCATGAATCCGACGCGTTAGGTGACATCACCGTAATCAAGAAAAATATTATATAAATTGCTTTTAAATATTTGGTGATAAATGCGTATTTAGTGTGGCAAACAAATTAGTTATACATTTTACATATGTGCGCTGGGTGGGAGAAAACTATCTTGATTTCCTATCACTAATCCACAATAGAATTGCGAAATTATGATTTAGATTCAATTATGGAGTTTAATATGACAGTTTGTAACAAGTTAGGTGTAATATGATTTATCATATTAGGTAAATTTAGATTATTGATTTTGAAATTAATGATTTTGATTTTTTATAAAAAATAATTTTCAATTTTAACTAATTTGATGAAATAAAATTTTAACTATTGATTTTAAAATTAATAATCTAGATTTATGTAATATGACAAGCCATGTTATCTAGTAATAATCTCCATGAAAAGCACTAATCACCAATTGGTATAGAAGAAGGAGCACCTATAAAACTTAATCCACCGCATCTCTTTAAATGAAAGCTTTAAAAATTTAAAATTTATATTCTTGCTGTTTTTTTTAAAAAAAATTTATTATATATATATATATAATAAAAAAATTTCAATATTATTTTTTTAAAAATACTTCTATTTTGTAATGCATTATTAAATTGATTAGATTTTGCTTTAAAAAATATTGCTAAAAGATACTAATATAGTATCATAATTAATAATTTTCTCAAACTATATTAAAAAAAAAAACATTACTTTGAAATAGAAACTTGAATATTTAATTTTAATAAGAGATAATGGAATAGACAAGACAATAAGATATGATTGCTACTATTTGTCTTGCCACAAGCGGCAACTAAAATTTGGAGCAGTAAATGCTGGGCAGAGAATGGAACTCCCAAAATTCGCGCCGACCTCAACAAGCGAAGAAGAAGAAATGTTAAAGGAACATGTAGAGGGAGAGAGACTTCCACCAGAAGAAGAAAAGGAGAAGGAGGCGCCGCAGGAGGAGCCCAAACCAGCAGGGAAACTGGTTAGGTTTTCAGGAGAAGGAAATCAAAAGAGAAGCCACTATAAGGCTTTCGAGTTTGCCGGAAACCGATACACTATTGTGAGTGTTTGTTTTTCTTGAAAACATTAATGGCTTTTGACATTTTGTGTTTGAATTGAAAGTTTTGTTTTGTTTTGTTTTGTTTCGCTTTTCACTGTGCTTAGGGTTAAAGCCGAAAGGAAATTGGCTCTTGCGTTTGGATTTGCTTGCTTTTGTGTGTTTTTCTTGGTGGGATTTTGAGGTTTTAAGTTTGTTTTTGTTTGGCTGAGTTCTTGCCTTGGATATATGGTCGCAATTGGTTTCCTTGTTGAAGGGTTTTTGAGTTTGTGCTTGTTATTACTGTTCTGGAGGTATATATATATATGTATATTATTTTGTTGTTAAATTAGGAGGGAGTCGGGTTTAGGTTTGTTGATTGCTGAAAAAAGTGATGAAGGCATGAAAGTTTAGAGCTTTTCAATGTTAGTTGTTTCATTCTCACGTGTTATTAGGGCTCTAGCCACTAGCTGTTGTTTTTGTGGCCAGCTAACGCGTGGTGTGTAATGGTGATCAATGTGGTTTTTATTCTGGACCCGTTTTGGTGAGAATTTGGAGTTTGTGTGCGGTGAGGGAATTGGAGAGTGAAAATGAGTCGCAAATTCTTGTTAGCTCCAAGTGGATCCTAGACAATGTACAATTACAAAAGGAAATTGAAATGATTGGTGAATTCAGAGTTCTCATTTTTCGTCTTTGAATATTTCTCGTATTCTTTGAATTATTGCTTCAAATGCAGCAGTGTTTTCAAGGAGCTTTGTTGGAATGGGACTATGCTGTTATTTTCATTGATTGCATCTGGGGTTTTCATGTTTGAGCAATTCCTAATTAGGAGGCAATTTTGAAATTTAAGCTGCCACCTATTTGTGTGTTTTAATTTGACGTGGAAATGCATCACTGGTTTTGAGGACCTTTATGGAATTTTGGTTGCATTTGCTTTCATTTTTTCCCTAAGTGTTCATGTCATCGTGAGGTTATATTTCTCTGTTTCTGCTTTTGTTGTCCTGCAGGAGGATCCTGTGCTTCTAGCTCCTGAAACTAAAGAGCTAAAGCCTGACATTACAATTATCAAGGTAACTGCTTGGAATTGCTTTTTGGTGTTCCATATGCAGTTCATCGATCCCTTTTGTGCAACTGATTGTTAAACGATCTAATTTTTTGCCAATTTATTCAATTGAATTAATTGAGATTGCTTTCATTTTCTATTTAGCACATAAAAAATTTTAATGTCATGTCTTTCCTTTGAGACCAACAGACTTGTCATTTTGTTGACAGGACATTACTCAGACCATTGATGGTATGGTGATTGTCACTGGACAAAGGTTATATCGCCCTGAAGAGGCTAAGAAAAAGGGTGGTGGAAGCTGGCAGATACGTGATAGTAGAGAGCTATTCTACAGTATCCATCGTGTTGAGGTTCCAGCAAAATGTGTAATGCACAAGTGTGTGGTGTATTTTGTCTCTGTCAACAAGCAGCTTCCAGATAGCAGAAAACATCCTGGTTTTATTATCCAACAAGTTTATGATGCTGAAAAGCAGAAGCTCTGGAAGATAATTGACAAGGAGTATGACTAGCATTTGTGATCTTCCTAATGTTCTGATAATTTTTCAGATGCAAAGAGGTGAAAGAAAAATAGAGTAGGATGTAAGTAGCCTGAGGAATCTAGAAGCTGTTTGCTGCAATGGCTAAATAACCTAGAACATCAAGTACAAAAAGAAGAAGAAGAAGAAGAAGAAGAAGGGAATCTTGGACAAGCATGAAGGAAGTAATTGACACCAATGAGCATGAAATAGTCAAAACATTATTCATTTGACTAATCCAATGTTTACGTAAGCGCTGGTTTGGTAGTACGGTTGCATTGGGTTGAAAGCATTTTTCAAAGTGAGTTTGAATCAATGCTTTATGGGTGCTTTTGGATGGATGTGATATAAAGATATTAAAACCATCAAAAAACACCTCCACAAAGCATTAATTTGATATATATTTTTAGTTGAAAAGCATTTTTGGCAAAAGCACCATGCCCTGCAGTATTAAATACACCAAGTAGAACAAGCATTCTTGTGTTTAAAACAGGATTCCAAGATCTCAAAGGGTTATCTAAATCACCAGATTGTGACATGCTTTTTTTCGATTGAAAAGGGATAGTTACAAGTTTTAACTATTGTTCGTTCTGCTTCATGTTCTTGTTGTTCTTTTTATATCTGCCATTCTTGCTGCCTGGCTTTAGGTTTTGCTCCTAAATTATGTTCTTTACACTGGTCTAACATGATTGTACAATTTTTCTTTGATGCATCATGTACGCATTCTAATGTTAAATGAATTTGGTCATTTCCCATGGTCAAATTTAGGCAGATCATTATCTATAATCATGAATGGTCTAAATTATAACCACCTTTTCTGTTTAAAATTGTGTAAATTCAATTTTGTGGCAAAGTATGTGAGAGGGGATTTTAAAACAAGTCACATACGTGTGAGTAGATCGGTTAAAGTACAGATATTTAGTAGTGTAATTTGTAAAAGCATCGACCATCTTCAATCAAGTAAATACACCCAAATAGTGAGAGATGTGAAAAAAAGATAAGTAGGTGGTCAAATTTCAAAAAAATAGAGTTTGATGGGTGAGTGCCGGAGTTTTGAAAGAAATGAGAGAGTTCGGACACAATAATATGATACTAGTATTTATAGTTTAATAAGGATGGTTTTTGACTTCTATAATAATGTTACGTGATTTATATTTGAACAATCAGATTTGAGTTGAAAAAATTATGTTATTTTATATTATTTATATTTACACAGTCAAATTTTAGTTGAAGAAAATTATGTTATTTTTGGTTAATTTATTTTAACTTGCTAGTAAATGTTAAAAAAAATAATAATTGAGTCTTCTTGTAATGATTTTTCTCCTAGCCCGCAAAGATAGTGTTCGAATCAAAGAGTTTTTGCCACATTTTTGCACATGAAACAAAACGCAAAACTCAAATAAATCTCATAAAATTCATACTGATTAATGACATGATCATCAACGAGATGACACTCCCGAAACCATGAAGTTTTGATATGAAAGACTAGCTTTTGAAGTAATATTTATAATTAGAAAACAAACTCCACTTAACAATTACAATAACTAGTGATGCCCATTTACATTCCATTAAAGAAGGTAGTTTGGAAAAGATGAATCTCCAAAGATATATAATAACGAGATAGTGACTTTCTTGACATGCACAAGAATCTAACCTTCAACCAAATATGCTATATATAATTGAGTGAGGTTTGAGGGTCCGTGATTATGTTCTTGTTGAAGAAAAAATCATCCAAGACTTGGGGAGAATGAAGGTTGGTAACATTTCCCAAGTCTTTTAAGTTTCATGTAAAAAATTTCTTTGGTCTTGTTAGAGTATATTAGACTATTATATAATAATTATAAATTGATTTGATGTTTAATTGAAAGAATTGTTATTGTCTTTTATATTGATTTAAGGATTGTGATTTTATTTTTTTATTTAGATGCATTGTTTGTGTATAAATAATCTAGACTCAATTACTTTTAGGATAGACACAAGTTATTCAAAATGTAACCACTTATAGTTTTACGTTATATGATTATTACATAATTGTTTTATAGAATTCACTTGTGGCAAATATCAACTATTAGATTTATAAGAATTAAGATAATTATGTAAGAATATCATTAGTAAGAGTTTATATCATTATGTATTTTTATATTTTATGAGGATCCTATTGAGATAACGAGGTTTTAAGTTTTTGTGACTTCCAACAAGATAACTTCATTTTTACGATAAATAATTTTAATCTTTGATAGATATTAAAATCATATGAAAATAATTGTTCGGCGACTATATTTATTAATGGAATATATACTATAGGCTTGATACTAGCCAAACGACGATACTTACTTCACGAGTTCATAAAAATTACGATAGATGCAAAGCATGATAAAAGTTTTCAAAGTGTTCAAATTGAAAATGGGTGATCAAGTTAATTTGACACTCGGACACTCCAACTTTTGATGCAAAATTCTGGAAATCTCACTAAAATATATTAAAAATCTAATCCTTTCATTGGTTTATGGTACAACTAATTTTCAACAAATTAATAGCTCAAACAAGAAGATTTGTTCATTATAAAGTCTCTGTTTATAGGTATAAAAATGAAATCTCCTTCAAACACAAGTGGGATGTATGATCTTTTGCTACATATTTCAACATCCAGTAAAAAATACTATTAAAATATATACTACCAACGTTGACACATTCTTTTAAGAGACAAATCACTCCTTCCCTCCTCTTTTTCTATTCTTTAACACACTCGATTTTACCTTACATGGGATTTACATGATTTGTACCTCAAGAGTATGGGGCAATGGGTCAATTCATTGCACGAGTCCGGATGAAAGAGCTTTGCTAGCTTTAGTCATCGTTGACATTCACTAAAGACAGTCTCTTTATAAAGCTATGCCCAAACCGTTAACCGAGTTGCTTCCTCTTTTACTTCAAATGAATTATTGTCACTATTCACCAACCTATATTAATAAATTAATTAGGTCGTTGATTACAGAGTTATCTAAATTTTTTGATCATTTTGTCTTGTTAGAGTATATTAGAATATTACCTAATAATTATAGAATTGATTTGATGTTAGATTCAAGGAATTGTTACTTGTCTTTTATATTAATTTAAGGATTGTGATTTTATTTTTTATTTAGATACATTGTTTGTGTATAAATAATCTAGACTCGACTACTTTTAGGATAGACGCAAGTTATTCAAAATGTAATCATTTGTAGTTTTACGTTAAACGATTATTACATAATTGTTTTATAGAATTCACTTACAGCAAATATTAACAATTAGATTTATAAGAATTAAGATAATTATGTTAGACTATCATTAGTAATAGTTTATATCATTATATATTTTTATATTTTATGAAGATCATGTTGAGATAATGAGGTTTTTATCTTTTGTGACTTCTAACAAGATAACTTCATTTTTACGATAAATAATTTTAATTTTTGATAGATATTAAAATCATATGAAAATAATTGTTTAGCACCAATATTTATTCATGGAATATATATTATAGGCTTGATACTCTCCGAACAACGGTACTTACTCCGCAAGTTCATAAAAATTATGATGAATGCAAAGCATGATAAAAGTTTTCAAAGTGTTCAAATTGAAAATGGGTTATCAATTTTTGTTGACGTTGGACGAGTCCTACTTTCGATAAAAAAATTCTTGAAATCTCACTGAAATATATTAAAAATCTCATCCTTTAATTGGTTTATGGTACGACTAATGTCCAACAAATTAATAGCTTAGACAACAAGATTTGTTCATTATAAAGTTTCTATTTAAAGAAGTTATATTACTTAGAGATGATTAGCTTTATTTGTTAAAATAATATCTTAAGGTTTGATTACCTAATATGTAGATAGATATAAAAAGGAAATCCCCTTCAAACACAAGTGGGATATGAGATCTTTTGCTATATATTTCAGCATTTATACAAAATACTATCAAAATATATATCGCCAATGTTGATATGTTCTTTTAAGTGACAAATCACTCCCTCTCGCCTCTTTTTTATTCTTTGACACACTTTAATTTTACATTACATGGGATTTACCTGATTTATACCTTAAGAGTGCGAGGCAATGGGTCAATTCATTGCACAAGTCCCGATGAAAGTGCTTTGCTAGCTTCGATCGTCGCCGACATTCACCAAATATAGTCTCTCCGCAAAGCTATACCCAAACCTATTAACATGTTGCTTCTTCTTTTATTTCGGATGAATTAGTGTCGTTATTCACCAACCTCTATTACTAAAATAATTGGGCTGATGATTATAGAGTTATCTCTACTTTTTTTTTATCATTTTTTTTGTCTTGTTAGAGTATATTAGAATATTATCTAATAATTGTAGAATTGACTTGATGTTTAATTCATGGAATTGTTATTGTCTTTTGTATTGAAGGATTGTGATTTTATTTTTTATTCAAATGCCTAGTTTGTGTACAAATAATCTAGACTGGACTACTTTTAGGATAAACACAAGTTATTCAAAATGTAGTCATTTGTAGTTTTATGTTATGTGATTATTACATAATTGTTTAACGGAATTCACTTGCGGCAAAATCAACTATTAGATTTATAAGATTTAAGTTAATTACGTAAGAATATCATTAGTAATACTTTATATCATTATATATTTTTATATTTTATGAAGATCTTGTTGAGATAACGTGGTTTTTAGCTTTTATGACTTCTTATGAGATAACTTCATTTTTAAAGTAAATAATTTTAATTTTTGATAGATATTAAAATCATATTAAAATAGTTATTTAACAGCTATATTTATTTGTGAATATACATTATAGGCTTGATACTAGCCAAACAACGGTACTTACTCTACAAGTTCATAAAAATTGCGATGGATGCAAAGCATGATGAAAGTTTTCAAAGTGTTTAAATTGAAAATGGGTTATCAAGTTTGGTTGACACTCGAACACTTCTACTTTTGATACAAAATTCTAAAAATCTCACCGAAATATATTATAAATCTAATCCTTTAATTGGTTTATGGTACTATTAATTTCTAACAAATTAATAGTTTAGACAAGAAGATTTATTCATAATAAAGTCTCTATTTAAAGAAGTTATATTACTTGGAGATGATTAACTTTATTTATTAAATTAATAACTTAAGGTTTGATATATATATATATATATGAAAATGAAATCCCTTTCAAACACAAGTGGGATGTATGATCTTTTGCTAAGTGTTTCAACATCCATACAAAATACTATCAAAATATAAACTACCAACATTGACACGTTCTTTTAAGCGACAAATCACTCCCTCTCTCATTTTTCTATTCTTTAACACACTCGATTTTACATTATAAGGGATTTACCTCAAGAGTGCATGGCAATGGGTCAATTCGTTGCACAAGTCCCAATGAAACGGCTTTGCTAGCTTCAGTCGTCGTTGACATTCACCAAAGACAGTCTCTCCATAAAGCCATGCCCAAACCTATTAACAAGTTGCTCCCTCTCTTACTTCGGATGAATTAGTATTATCATTCACCAACCTCCATTACTAAATTAATTAGGCTGATAATTACAGAGTTATCTCTACTTAAAATTTTTTTTTTCATGTTAAATTTGTGTTTCTATATTTAATCTCTATTTGTCTTTAAATGTTAACTTTTTTAGACTAATAGTGTTATATAACACCGTTAGTCTCACGGAATTATGGCGTTATTAGTCTTTCTTTTTTGTTTTTTTTTTTCGGTTGAATCTAGTCCATCTATTTTTTTAACGAATTTAAATTATTTTGAAAAATAAAAAATTTAACTAAAATTCTCTTGATGTTTTAATAAACCATTATAAATATTTTATTTTATAATTTTCATAAAGATAAATTTAAACCATAAAAGACATTTTGAATAAAATAATCGAACATATCTTCATTTTTTTTTCAGTTTTTTGTTTATTTTTCAAAATTTATTTTTTAAAAAATAAAGAGATGAGATTAAAACGAAAAAAAAAGTTGACATGTAATTATGTAAGACTAACAATGCAATTTAACATTGTCCGTCCGGAAAGTTAGCTATCTAACTATTAAATTAAAACATAAAGAAACAAATTTAAGATAAAAATGAAAGGATAAAGAGACAAATTTAAAAATAAATTAGCCAAAAAAAAAAAATAATACTTCAGTACTAGCGAAAAAATAAATTAGCATGCGAAATTGAACTTCTAAGAAAGAAAAAGACCGATGAAAATCTAGGGAATTCAATGACATAGTTGTAAATTAGTTAAACTTCTAAGGCCATTTCAGAATTCTAGTAATCTCCTTAATATACCATCCAACGGCTACCTTCTTCGCTGTTTATCTTCACCACCGCTAAAACCGACTGCAGTAGCTGAAAAAAAAAAAAACCAAAATGGGTAACCGAAGATTCGCTCAGGTCTCCACTAGCGACGAAGAAGACGAGGCGCCACCAAAGGCACGATCATCATCAGCAACGACAAAGCCTGAAAACAACAGCGAGAGGAAGCGGAAGAAGATGAAGCTTCAAGAAGAAGAGGAGGAAGAAGAAGAAGTAGTGACGACTAGGAGAGGGAGAGGAAGGCCCAGGAAGAAAGTAAGAGAAAAGAAATCGGAGGATGAACTAGAGGAAGAGATCGAGGAAGAACCGGAGGAAGAGGTGCCTCAAGAGGACGCCAAGCCAGTTGGGGAATCGACAAGATTTTCGGGGAAAGGAAGAGGGAGGAGAACTCATTTTAATGCTTTTGAGTTTGATGGGAACCGATATGAGCTTGTCAGTTTTCTTAATTTAATTGATGCAATTAGGGTTCTTTTTGCTATTTAGCTACAATTTTTTTTTTTCAGAAATTTAAGGTTTTGCGCTCTAATTTTGCCAATTGATTTTCTTTGATGAATGAATCTTCGATATTCTTCTTTAACACTTTGGTTATTTGCTGGAAGTTATTTGAACTTGTGAAGGTGGCAAGCATGGCGAATTTAGGGTTTAATTAAGGGATTTTTAGTGTGTGTGGTTTTGATTTTTTTGTGAGTATTATTTGGTCGGGGGTTTTAAATAGGTTTTGTTGGTTGAATTCTGACTTTGTGTTTTGACATTGATTTTGGTCGTTGAAGGGTGCAGTGTGGAGTTTGTGTTTTAAGTAGGTATGCTGGATTTAGTTCTGGAGAGAATTTGGCTTAGTTTTTCCTTGGGTTCTGATAAGAGCAGGGAGCTTTATGGTGATATAAATTTAGATTTGAATTTGTGTTTGTTTTTGTTATTTTGGTGAGCTGTTGTGTGCTTGACTTTATGGATCTGTTCATTTTTGTTCTGCACTTGGTCGAGTGAAGTGTAATTCAAGTTATAGTTGATTAGATTATGGTAGTTTGGTGAGCTAAACAGAATTTGGGGAGGAAAATGAGTTGCGTAGTATTGATTGGCTTAATGTGGCTGCAGCAGTGGTTTTGAGGGACTTCATGGAATCATAGTTGTTTTTGTTCTTCCCTAATTGTTGGTATCATTATCACTGTGGATATTTATTTGTTCCTTCTCTGGTTGTTCTGCAGGAGGATCCTGTCCTTCTAGTTCCCGAAGATAAAGAGCAAAAACCTTATGTGGCTATTATCAAGGTAACATGGGATTACTCGTTTTTCTAATTCCTTATGTGTTCAGTGTTCTATTTGGTGGATATCCATCTCATGCCTAGATATTCTAATTTGAATTTCATATGGTTTGGCCTCCTACACTTATTATTCAGACTGTCTCTTTAATGGTGGATAATTTGGCGGTGAACCAAAAAAATTGATTTTTCTGTTCCCCTTGATAATGAGATTCATTTGTGGTTAATGCTGTGCATTCTTGGAGTTCATTTGCAGATTTTGTACTGGTTTGAAATTAATCGTCTTTAGAAACATTTGATTCTAATGATGGGCAGCTATTTGTTAACAGATTTAACAATGGTATGCTATGGTGTCGATCCTTAACTAAATAATGGGTGATGGGTTTAAATGAATGATATACTAAAATATCTCTGAACACAAAATGGTGGTAAAGTCTGAAACTCAATTAACTTGGGAATTGGGTTCAGTCCATATTTAAATGGGATTATTATTATTATTATTATTATTAATTTACATTCAAGATTATGAGAAGACCCCGTTATTAACATATTAACATGTTCTTTCTTTTCATTTTTTGTTTCCCAACCACTAGTTGGAAATGGGACGTGGATTGCATACCTTTGCAATTTAATTAGTTAGATTCCAATTCATTTTCTGAAACTTTGGGGATGCAATAAACTTCTCTTCACACTGAATGAAAATTTCATTTTGTAAACCGTCTTCTTGCATTTTATTATGTCATGGGTCTCTCTGGTAAAAGATTCTTAAGTATGCACTGTTGGGCCCATTTTATGAAAATTGTTGTTCTGTTGCTGGCTGAGTTTGTCTTATTCATCATAATTCTTATGCTGTCTGGTGAACATTCTACTTTTATCTTGTAAATTAATTCAGATTGCTTTAATTTTGTACTTAGCATGTATGATTTCTGTCATCACTTTCCGCTGTGGCCAATGGAATTGTTTTTCTGTTGATAGGATATTTCTCAGACTAAGGATGGCAGCATGATGGTCACTGGACAGTGGTTTTATCGCCCTGAGGAGGCTGAGAGAAAAGGTGGTGGAAGCTGGCAGTCACGTGATACTAGAGAGCTTTTTTATAGTTTTCATCGTGATGAGGTTCCAGCAGAGTCTGTCATGCACAAGTGTGTGGTGCATTTTGTCCCAATTCACAAACAGCTCCCAAATCGAAAACAATATCCTGGTTTCATTGTCCAGAAAGTGTATGACACTGTGGAGAGGAAGCTTTGGAAGCTTACTGATAAGGATTATGAAGATAATAAGCAGCATGAAATTGATCTTCTTGTTCAGAAAACTCTATCGCGGATGGTAGACCTTCCTGACATTGAAGTTGAGGATGCTCCTGCTGCTGCTCCTGAACAGGAAGATCCGACAAAGGCAAAAAGAACTCTGAGGAGAAAGAATTTCTCCCCTCTTGATGTGACAAGGGAGGAAGAAGTAACTGCCAGACCTGATAATTTAAAAGCTGAAACACCAGGAAGCTGTACAGGCAATGGCTCAGAGTATTATGCCATCTTAGTAAAGTTTGATGTACTGACTGGAGATACCCATCGAGACAAATGGCTGGAGCGGCTTCTTCAATGTATTCAGTATATGTGCATTTCTCCTAACAGCACACTTGATGATGGTAAGCTAAAAGGTGGTTCTGATGGCGTTGACCATAAAAAAGAGGAGAAGTCCCAGGGAGATGCAAATGGATCTGAAGAAAATAGTGCAAAGGTGTATAATTCATTTTTGTACTTAGCTTTGGCATATGACATAATGAATTCCATTTTCTGGTATCTCAATTAGGAGGAGATTAGGGATGGAAATTTGACAATTTCAAAGATTTTTTTCACTCTAGTGCTCTAATTTGTCATAAACGACAGGGTGGCAAGTCTTTTCCCTGGCCAGATGCTGCTGTTCTTGCAGTAAGTGCTCTTGAGAAGGCATCGCATGACGCACTTTCCTTTGATTTTCAGAAGTATAATCAAAAGTTGCGTCAGCTAGTGTTCAACCTCAAGGTTAGTCTTGCATTTGCTTTCTTTCAAGGTGTTTGTGCTCTGGGGGTTCACCTTGCGTGGATACTTTTCTTCCCTTCTGCTCTGTCTTTGGATAAAGGTGAAATGAATTTGAGTTCAGTCTTCATAAACGATATGCAGTCATTTTGAGGGACTGTAGTTACCTTTCCTTTTCATTTGGATATTAGTGATGCACGTACATATGTGTTTTGTTGGTTACCAAAATAAAATATTGAAGTTTTTTCTGTTTGCATTTATTGAAATGAAAGATTGAAATTTTATCAAAAGCATTTGAACGAAATGCTTTTAAGGGGAAAACTAAACATTCAAGTAGGGTTAACTGAAGCAGTATTGATCTTATTGTGTGGTGTATGGTCCAAATTCATATGCGTAAGACTTTGCAGTGGAACAAGATGAATCTCAAACTAAGGGTGTTGAGTGGCCCGCTTTTGACTGAACATGCAACATTCTTTTGCTGGGGATGTTGATATCAAATTTTCTTCCCTAAAAAAATTTCAGAATAATGCATTTCTAGCCTGCCGTCTTCTGAACAGAGAGTTGGAACCCTCAAAAATATTGAACATGTCGCCAAATGAGTTAAAGGTATAAGTTCTCTTCCTGCTTGGCCTTATTTTGTTTAGTTCTGCTATTCTGATTTGGTTCTGTAACATGTACGAATGTCATGAAGTGTATGAACTAACTAACTTATCTTCAGGAGGGTTTAACAGCAGAGGAAACTGCAAAGAAGGAGCCTGAGGAGTCAGAGCGCATGCAGGTTACTTCTTTTTGCCACACATTGGTTTTTGACTTTGAGATATTAGAAAGATTTTTTGGCTGTACACTTGGATCTGTGCTTGTGCCTCACTGCTTGGCTGGCCTGTTTGCTTGTGTATCAGATGACTGATGCTCGTTGCTCAAGGTGCAGTGAGTTTAAAGTGGGACTAAGGGACATCATCCAAGCAGGACATGGAGCCCGCTACCAGGTTTTCCTAACCCCAAACCTTGTTCTCTACATCATTATTATTTTTTATGTCGACATTAATTTCAAATATTTAGCATGTGGCTTGCCTTAATGATTGCACTACATCTAATGAGCCGGGGCGTAGACACATAATGCATAAAGTGACGTGAAAGACGTGCTAATATTTTGAACTCTATAGATGCATGTCGTGCACAGTAGCACAATATGTTGATACAATCAAGCTGTTGACACCAGGTCTGCTTTTCTGCGTCTGTTAAAATAATTGATAGTCTTGGTTTTGTCTTCTTGTGCATCTGTTAAAATCCCCATATGAAATATTGGCTAACAAGTCAAAATTTTGCTGACCACAGTAACTCAGATTGCATTTCGGATTCCATACCATCTATGATAGCAAACAACTTTGTAAGGCAACAAGTTTAAGGAACAAAATGTCCACTGTCTGTTGCTCATAAAAAAGAAAATAAAAGCCATTAGTCATTCTCCTGTGTAAATTGTTTTCTTAGATGTTGAAGCAACAACAATTCTTTCTGTGATTGGAGATGAAACCTTTTGTTTTCTTTCTCCATATTCTCTGTCTTGTTATATTGTAAGACTATTGGGACCAAGCACATAATTCATAACCAATATGCATCTTTTGATTATATCAGTTGGAGTTCCTAGGTTGACTTGTCTTTGGACCTTAATTAAGTTGGCTTCATAAGGTGCTCTCTCTTTCAGTTGCTAAGCTAACTTGTGGATATTCCTGTTTGATAGCTATCTCTCCTTAAGCCTATTGCATTTAATGCTGGGCCCTGACCCAAAGAGGTCATGCACTTTGCATTAGCAGCATGTAATGGCAGTGGGCATCTGCACCGGAGGGCTTGGTGCTGCCAAATTCTCTTCTTAACCTGTTCTCCATTAGCCATTTCCATGGAACCATCAAATCTAAAAAATGTTTATGCAAGACAATTCATGCTGCTTTTCTTTACTGATGATGGGATAGGAAGGAAGTTTTTTTCACTGAACTTCAAGTCTTAAATTTTCTATCAAAAACAGGAACATGACTAAAAAATTTAGTTATTTTGAAGGATTGGACTGCATAATACAAACGCTGAATTGCAAGCTCCAATGTGTACAAGTAATATTCCATGTTATGAACTGCCATATTTAAGTCCTGCAGTTAACTTTAGATTTTTTGGTTTCAGTTGGAGTGCATTGCCTGTGGCAATTCCTGGTATGCATCCAGGGATGAGGTATCTATGCTATCAATAGATGCACCAAGTTCTGCCAGAAGTGTAGGCACGGCACCATGGGCAACTGCCAAGTTTGACGAGGTTGAGAAAAAGCTAGTGAGTCCCCGTGAATCTGATAAGGCGGCTGAGTTCCTTAAGAAAACAAGCGAACCATATATGCCCATATTGGAAAACCAGAGGTCATTTAGCAAGGTCAAGATTGAAGAGAATTCCGAAACTTCAAAGAATGCCGAGCAGTAACCACAGCCAGGAATTTGCTTGCTTGTACAGTCGTCTTTAGTGGGTTATGCCCGTTTCAGAAGTTTTTTAAGTTCAGTTATCTAATAATTAACAAAGAGTTGGTGTACAGGGGTAGGTTTATGTTAGTAATACTCTCTAACTTAAAAAGAGTTTCTTTTTACCAAATCAGTGTAGGATAGAAGTTGTTTGTACCTAATCACGGCATGCCCTGTTTGTCCTTGCGTCAAAATTTAAATCAATGCATTCATAGTTAGTGACATCTGAAATAGCTGAAGTTATTTGGAATGGATATACGATAATTTGTAGCCGCGAGGGAGGGCGTGCTAATGTGGAGCTTGCTGTTGGTATGCACGGGCGCAAGGCATGAAAGAAAATATCATACACATGGGCCGTTCTTTCGGCGTTAAGCACCCTATTGTTCGAGTGCGCGGGAGGTTCCACTATGCTTACTTGGAAGGGTAATGACTAAGCTTGCGTGGGAGCTATTATTATAATTACACATGTGCCTATCATTTAGTACCATTGATGCCTATCTCATCTGCTATAAGTTCTTTGATTAATACTAACCCAGATGGAGTGGATTTAACTGGTACTTTCGAGGTTTCGTATAACATCAATTATTTATGATTGGTGGGTGGGATGGGATGGGATGGGATGGAGATTTCAAATATATAGCATGTTTCTTGTTAATGCATGCTTAAGATTTGATTGAATGAGGTTATTAAATAATAATAATAAGAGAGATAAGGTTTAAGTGGGAGATTCCGTGAGTTGGATGCGAGTTGAGTTGAGTTGTGACCGACCGACTGCCACAGTTTTGCTTCCTCCCGCCTAAGCCAATTACAATATTCTCCTTTGACCAGGAAGTAGAAAAGCTATGCCAACGAACTCCATTTGACACTACTGCCCCCAGAAGAATAAATGCATGTTGTGGTACCAGGAAAAAAGTGGGCATAGGTGATTATCGACAGATAATGCTGGGTTGTTGCTTGTTTATATCATATAATGCCTCTTGCCACCAAAACTGTACATATGTTGTTGGGGACTCAACAACCTTGAAGCAATCATCGATGCTGGTATACAAGTTCTTAGATCAATTTGTACCACTTTATTTACTTTTAGGACCACTTACGCCTAAACTTTAGTTCAACCATGTGATGTTGGTATGACCATAAAAGAGAGGTGAAGAACCAGTACCAGAAATAAGTTATCACGGTTATAGACGGTATGCATATTTTGCTTATGATAATTGTCTTGATATTATTATGGTTTCTTTTACAATATTATTATTATTAAACAGTTTCACACAGGACTTTACGGTAATTACAGTAGAATGAGATCTGCGTTATGTTGCGCTGATAATATATATCAGTTGATAGTTTAATTATCGGAAACAGTGAAAATTAAATGCAGGCATCATATTGTCTTGATATCTGCTGTTCCTAAAGCAATAAGATAACTTAAGATGAGGCAGTGAATCAGACAACCCATCTCATTTTAATTTTAATTATACAATCTCTCTCTCTCTCTTAATTATCCAAATAGCCAGTATCGCCCTCCCCCAAGAAACGGAGCTCCTCATTAAAGAAGGGTGTAGCTGTCTTTTCAGACACGAGGGCTCCGTCTAAAGCTGGCCGTATCATTAAGCCAAAAAGAATAGGAAAAAAAATTAAAAATAAATAAATAAAATAAACAAAGCAAAGCCCAAAAAGAAACACAAGCAGCAGCAAAAATAACAATAGCATAGCTTAGCTGCAAATCATGACCTGAACACAAGATGGCTTTTGAGTAGACATGAACAGAAACTTAGCAGCCATCTGTCTCACATTGCGACTCTTTGTCCATGCGAGAGAGATAAAGAAAGAGTGAGACTTCACTCTGTGGAAGAAATTAAGACACACATACATCCTCTCTCTCTCTCTCTATATCTATAACTAAGGCATGCTCTCTCTCTCTCTAAAACTCACTTTTTGTGTTTATTATGCTTTACTGTCATTGGTCTACTTCTTGTACTTTTCTTGATTCTTTGAGAGTGTAAACACTCTTTGGGGTCATTACTAACTCTTCTTAAAGATGTTTTTTTTTTTTTGATAAAAGACTTTAGCTTGAAGAGATTGGAGGATATGATTGCAGCTAATTGCAGTTTGTTGGCTTTTTTCTTTGAATTCACTACTGTGAGATCTAGTGGGGTACGGCCATTTCGTCAAGTTCTTTTTTTTTTTTTTTTGGCGTAGAATGCAAGTGAAGATAAAGTTGCTAATAATTTTATATAGCCTTTTATGTCTGTTACGTTACTTTTTTTTGGGGTGGTGGATTTAAATTGACGGAGATCATAGGATTCCTTGTTAGTTCAAGTTTTTCAGTTTTATGGATCATCAAAGTTAGTTTCTTTTTTGAGGTTTTTGTGATCTCGAACTTTGGAATCATCAAATGTGGAGCATGCTTTTTGAAATAATGGTTTTTTGCGAAGGTCATTATACTAGTTCCTCAACTTTTATATTAGCTCCTCAAAAATTAGAATATTAGAGATAGCTCTTTCAGATGAGCAGATTGGTATTTGTAAATGAGAATGTGCTGGCTTGACAAGTTCTTAGTAGGCAGCTATTTTTTATTGTTTATTTTTCCGTTTCATGTGTGATCTGTACAGTTCCTTTGCTTAGAAGCAGATAGCTACTTGTTGTTTCTAGCCGGATGTCAAATTAAGTGTCAATAAATGCATGTGATGGCAATTGAATAATCCTTTTGAATGCAGATGATTTTTTTATTTATTGATTACCTATTATTACTACTGGCCTATGGCAACGCATAGTTGCCAGTTAAGTTAGCTGCTATATTGTAGGAAATTCTAATCACCCCTAGCATATCTGAATTTGGGATTGTGCGGGTTCTATAGTCAGATTTTAGAGATATTGCTACTTTCACATTGCCGGGTCTTTTACTTTCTGCTTCGTCAGGTATTATTATATTTGTCTTCTTATTTTGGATTTGATCTTTTGTAGAATTTTGGATCTATAAATGGAACTGGAGATGGAGTTGGATTCTGAAAAGAGTAGCACCTCAGATCTGAGTCCTAATACTGTTCTTCCACATCGACGTTGCTCGAAAGTAGATAAGAGAAATGCAAATGGCAAACTCACACGCAAGGATGATATTTTGAGGGTAAAAGAGGGTTTCACAGAGATTAGCTTCTGTCGTTACCGTAGTTCCTCTTGTAAGAATGTTCCCTCTAGACCTGTTGGTCTAGATGGTAACATAGAGCTGAAGCGAGGCTCCATATATCAAAGCTCCAGTGAAGTAAGGAGAATGAAAAAAATGGGTTCTAATGGGGGAAGAAGAAAGATGGAACAGTCGCGTGCTAGTGACACCTCGTTTTCTTTCAGAATTGTTGACTCTTTTTGTAGCTTAGATGAAGACACCATGCAGAAGACATCTCCTGCAAGCTCTGTGACCTCAAACTTGAATCTGAAGTCTGCTCGAAGACCTTGCATAGAACCATGCTCATCAGACGACTTCATTGAAATCTGTCTGAATTTGGATAAGAGAGAGGAGCATTCTGCTGGAGCTTTAGGAAGTGACTCAATTGGGAATCCGAACTTCAAATGTGAGCAGGTTGTTGGTCCACTAAATGACGGTAATGAGCTTCAGGAAAGAGATACAGCTCTGACCTTCCACAAATCACTCTCTGCTAAGGTAGAAATGCCCTGTTCACCTTCTTCTTCAGAAAGTGATTTCTCTACGGGAGCCAGCTCAAAGTCCCGATTTAGTCCCATCCGAAAGATGTTCGATCCATTTACAAAGTCCAAATCTCTTCGGAGTCCATTGGGTCATGTACCCGAGCCAAGTGATGCCAAAACTACTGGGATGTCGAACATGAGAAGGAATCAGACATTTCGGAAATCTTTGTTCCATGACTTCTCACATACAGCTCAGAAAGCAGATTTTGATTCTCAGATCGTCAAGAAAGATAACCATCATTCAGCTGTAGCATGTTCACCAGTTCACCTACATGGTTGTCTGAAGTTGGAAAACAAACATGGGGTGCCATTTTTCGAGTTCTCAATGAATTGCCCTGAAGAACTTCTGGTGGCTAAGACATGGAAAGCAAATAATGCATTTAATTGGGTGTATACATTTCATTCCATTTCAAGTAGAAAAAAGAGCAATGCCACAGGATGGGGGTTGAATGATGGCAATAAGGAATCATTGGTAGTGGGGCAGATGCAAGTTTCATGTTATTTATGTTCAGAATTAAAAGATGGTGGGAACTTTGACAACTCTATGGTGACAGAGTTTGTGTTGTATGATATTGCGCATGCAAGACAAAGAGTTTCTACTGAGGACTCTGCTGATGTTAAACCTGACAGTGGTGCTAATCCAGGCTTGGTTGGTGGAAGTCATGAGATGGATGGAAACTCTGTTGCGGTGAAGCTCAAACATCAACCAAAATATGCTTTTGATAGAGCCGACTTCGATTCTTCCAATCCTTTTCCATGGGCATCTGCAGTTTTGCATCCAGACCTCGAAATAGCAGCGGTTGTTATTCAACTCCCATTTGCAAAGAGAGAGAGCCTGAAATACAAATGGGGGGACAAGGGTAGTGATAAAATGCTTTCAAATCTGCTCAACCTTTCTGTTGGTGAGCAAAGGAAGAAAAGCATCTATGATAAAGAAAATCAAGAGAAGGTGAAGGTGGTGATTCCAACTGGAAATCATAGTTTGCCAAGTGGCGATGGTCGGGGTCCTTCTTCATTGCTTGATAGATGGAGATCTGGTGGAGGTTGTGACTGTGGTGGCTGGGATATGGCCTGCCCCCTTACAGTCTTTGGCAATCCTGGCATCCAATGTGCTGAAGATGAACCACTCCTGGATAATTTGCAGCCTTTAGAACTTTTTCTTCAGGTAAGCTTGCTGATTTGGTATTCAAGGATGTTGTGCATTGCTAACATGGATAAATTAGAAATCTTACACTTGGATAAAAGACACTAGGCACTAAATATCGGTAACTTTGCTTTATTGTTGATATGAATCATGTAATTAGTCTCTTCCTAGCTGTAACCATTCTAATTTTTGTGCAGGGAACAAAAGAGAATATACCAGCATTGACCATGAGAGTTCTTGAAGAGGGTCAATATGCTGTCGATTTCCATGCACAATTATCCTCATTACAAGCATTTTCCATCTGTGTTGCTATATTGCATGGAACAGAAGCCACTGGTGTGACTGGAGAGGAAACAGGCAATCAGTTATCACACTGCAATTCACTGAAAATGCTTATTGAGGAGGAAGTGAAGTTCTTAATTGAAACAGTCACGGAGGATGAGAAAAGGAAAGCATCCAAGAAAGTGGAAGGGATGAAGCAGTCTTACGTGCTTAACCCTCCCTTTTCTCCAATTTCTCGGGTATAGACCCAACAGTTTGCTTTGTAACGCTGAATGCCTCCTCTAGAGAAACGCTGACCAGGCTTGCAAATAACCGGAACCAAAAGAAATTCAATAAAGAAAGAAGTTTTCATTATCTAAATGGGGTTGGCAGGAAGCCGGTTGGAAGCTTTCATGATCTAAAAGGGTTCGGCAGGAAGCCGGTTGCAGCAATCTTTGCCAAGGGCGACTAAACTGGGAGTTCGAAAATTCTTTTGCAACCCTTGAACAGCTGTGCTCATCAGAAATCTTCAATGTATAATTTGATTCTATCATGTTCTTCCATTTTTCAAGTAGCTAGAAGTAGAATAGACACATTACTGTCCATATTTGTAACTTGACAGGGAGGGAAAAGTACTGATTGGAAAGAGAAGAGGGGGTCTAATACTTTTTTGTATTATAATGAGGATATGGTGCTAAGTGAAGTAGTTTTCAGGATGGTTTTCAGAACCTTTCATTGCTAATGTATTTGGAGGCAGAAAGTTCAGAATTTTTGTTCAAAAATAACTTGAAAATAATTAAATGGGTTACTTAATCCTTGTTTCTTTTCGCTGGTTAAATATTTGTTGTACTGGTGCCTTCACCTCTTTTTGTTCACTAGCTCGATAATTTTTCACACTTGGGAGTCCGAAAACAATGATATGGACTGCTTTTCAGAATTTTGCTGTCCTTCAAAAGAGAATCATGACAGAGCCATGCTGGTGGTTACCTTTTATAGGACATGCATTGCTTACACAAGAAAATCTTAGACATGTTTTGTCCCATAGAGCATGCTCCTGTAACAGTGACTTTACTGAAAAAATTCTTACAACTTCGAAATTCTCCCAAATTTTTTGCCCTCTTCTCTTGCTTTCATGGATTGCTAAACTAATACTATTAGTAGTAGCATACTTTGACACTAACTGGCGTTTTCTGTAACCTAAAATGACAATTAATCATCTGGATCTGGTGAGAAAGCATCAACGTAGCTCCTTGTACCCTTGAGATACAGTGTGGAAAGAAAGAGCTAGAAAGTAGAGCAATTCTGCTTGGGCATGGTATGCTGCCTTGGCAAAAATGAAAAAAAATACTGATTATATTTCAGCTCCCATATATTAAACAAAATTATTTCACTTTAGTCTCTTAAATTTAAAAATCTCTCAATATGATTCCTATTGTTTCAAAAAGTTTCAATATAGCCCGAATCATTAAATAGCTAGGGAAAGCTGATGACCAACCGATGTTTTGAATTATTATTTTGGGCACTTTTTAGTTTATAAAGTTTTAATGGGATATTATCACATGTACATTGGCCTAGAGGGCAAAGATCAAAGATAAAATGAAAAAGTGAAAAAAGAAAAGGAAAACCTGGGCATTCCGTTAATTATTTAACAATTAAATAAGTGCCACATTGGAAGTTATTATAAATTATAAGATTAATATTTTTGCAGATCTCAAACTTCAGGGATCGGAGTGAAATGTTTCTGAATCTGTAGGGGCTAAAGTACAACATACAGTTATACACCGACAAAAAGTTAAATTCCAAAAACCGATCGCCGTTGCCGGGGATCGAACCCGAGTCACCCGCGTGACAGGCGGGAATACTCACCACTATACTACAACGACCTGCGATTTGTTGGATACATAAAAATATATTTACCATATTTACTCAGTCAACTCCTACGCTTTAGTTCAGGAAACTAGTACTTGGAAAACAAGTCCCATCAATCAGGAATGCCGCCCAAAGAGTCATCCCTTATGATTGAAACCTATAGCTACAGTCCCTTTTGGCTGCGTTGTTAGGAGGAGACATTTTCTTTTTCTAGTGATACGAATCAACTCATCTTATTTTGGAGAATTTTTGATATCATAATGCAGATCGAGGATGTTTTTGGTAACTGATATATAGATGAGACTAGCTAGACAGAATAAGTGATCCCAAAGGACTTTAGGACAATAATTCCTATTCCATTTGCACATCAAAAATATCAAATACGAGCACGAATTGGTATTTTCTGTCATTCTAAATACATACCAAACATCAATACAAAAAAAAAAAAAAAATTATGGTATCCATTTTAGTCTTGGTATATACAAGTATCAAATCTATCTATACAATTCTAGTTTTGTTCTAAATCTATCTAATATAAGTATAGTTTTGTTCTATGTTGGATGTGTTTAGTATGCTGCACAAGACAAAATAAATGGAATTGAGCTATATGCTAGAGAAGACTGAACAATAGACGAGATTAGACTGGACTGAAAAAAAAATATATTCTTGTATTGTATCTACACAGACATGACAAGTATACGTAAAGTTTTTGTAAAAATTCATTTTAGTCTTTGATATTTTTTAATAATTTATTTTAGTCCCTATTTATTTTCATGACATTTTAGTTATAAATAAAAACATTGGTCCTGCAAAGTTTTTGTGTATGCAATGTAGTCCTTGAATCAAAATTTTGTTTGAAATAGCCCCTGTATGTATAAATTCATTTTAATAAAAATATAGATAAACGCCGTACAACTTACCTTATACTAATACGAACTTGTTCTGTCTTGTTCAATCTTATCTTGTTCTGCATATCAAACACAACCTACAAATTACCAAACTTACCTAATATAAGAGGAAGCTTAAAAGTTTGGAACTAAACATGCAAATATTGTCGAAATGCCTTAATGCATTAATAATAGAGTAATGCTGCGTCGAAGAGAAGAAAAAAATCAGGGAATTCATAACGAAAATAAAGATAAAATAATTTGAGTTTATTTACCAGTACTGCCATTGTTTCTATTCGCTCATTCGCTGTTCATTCATCAAAAGAGTTTCGTTACATGTAGCAATACTCTTAACCTTAACAAATTTACTACCCTCAAAATAAAATAAATTACAGGGATTGGACGGCAAAGAACTTGGATTCAAAAATCACTTTCAGTGGTGGTTTCCTCATTCATCTACTTCTACATTCTCTCTGAAAAAGCAGCAACCACAACAGGATTGTTTGACCATATAAACATATTCATATTCTGGTTTATGTTTTCCAGCAACCTTAGGGAGGCTAGAATAGTAGGGAAAAAATAATATTAAGCTGAAGTGAATGGCAAATAAAAAAATCCACTTCTTGTTGCAGGTACTGCATCCGTTTCCAGTTGATGGTTCTCTTGATAGACTCTCATTCCTTTATTCTTCCAGTCAACACACAGTTAACAACATAATCCTGATCACAAACCACCGAGAAGATATCTCATTTCTTTATTCTTCAAGTGAACAGAACTGTTCACAAATAATCCTGATCGCAAACCGCCGAGAGGATACCTTGTTTCTTTATTCTTTAAGTGAACACATGTTCACAAATAATCCTGATCGCAATCCACACAACGTTTAGCTATGATGACGAGGGTGCCATCACTGTGATTATGATGCTACTGGCAAAGATGCTGAATCATCTTCAATCTTTTCTATGTACTGAATACTTGGAGCATTAAATAGTGGCACCTCTAAAGAAAATATTCTTTTCAAAAATTCATATGATGCAAAGAATAGTGCTCCCTGAGACATGTACATAACCAATCTTGGAGTTAATCCCCTGAACATGGAAACAAGAAGAACAGTGGTTAAGCATAGCTTATCATGTCTGCAAATCACAAATTTCAATGCTGTAAATTTAATTCTAAAATGAAGATTCAAAAACTAAAATTACTTTGCAAAGAGTTTGTGAAAGGCCATGTTAATCACTAGAAGCTCGCATGCATTGTGCCTTTAAAAATTTCTGATAAATTTGCCAAATATGTCACACTTTTGCATACTATATATAGTTCATTCTCAAAAACTTCAGAATTTTAACACAGACATTCTTCAATGCAAAAGCCACAGCAGAGTCATCTGTTCTTAGAAGCTAAGACTCATAAAAGATGACTTAAGACTTGAAATGTTCCACCATTTTAAGGCGCAAACAAACTGTGAAACAATTATCATGCTTAGATGAAAATCTGCAGATCCAAATCAAATGTACCTATATAGGCCCTTCAAACCTTCATTCTTGCCTATTTCTTGAAGTGCATGAAATATGCTTCCATATGGGCTCATGGATCCAGGAATCTGCAAAACACCACTTTTTGAGAAACATGTTCAAGAGATTATAATGATAGCAGGGATGGAGAAGTATAATTAGTTTTAAATTACACAGCTATCTGACAGGTTTTTTGCATCTAATTCTCAGTAAGGTCACCTAAATGCACACTCAAAAAGGCTTTGGAATAGAAAAAATCATCCTACAGAAACTTCTCATCAGTTGAAAATCCATAGATGACATGGCATTGAATAACATCTGCCTTTCCTTTGTGATAAGATCTTGGATGATAAAGTTTGTACAGACTCATTCATGACACATCCATATAGAGCTATTCTAGAATGGAAGTACAAAAAAGGTTTCGGTCATCGTTTCGTTTCAAATATGGATGGAAGGGTGTTTGTGTGTTTCAATGGGTGCATAAGAGCTTGACAAATGTGATACTTCTACTATCTAACTTTGCAAGTCAAGGATCACATAAGGCTACATAACAACAATTCAAAAGATTAACAAACCTGTGTCTGTAATCTTGTCTTCACCACATCAAAAGGAGTTGTAAATAAGGCAGCAGTAGATCCTGCTAGTCCTCCACAAACTAGCTGCATTTATTGAATTATATGTAAGAATATCCCGTGCAAATGAGTTGAAGACAATAAAGGAAAATGCTATGATCCAGCCACCACGAACCAGATCCCCAAAAAAGCAGAAATGTTACACCACAACAGGTAGAGAGTTTATAAAGGGCGGATGCAAAGAGAGAGGAACAAACCGTTTGTAATGTATTGGGTCCGGCACTGGAATTTTGTGATGACAACATCAACTGCTTGAAGCTTTCATATGTGTAAAACTGCATAATGGTTAATTTATCTTTAGAATAAGATGCTGAATCAAAAAGCATCAGCAGACAGGCCATAGAAACTAAAATCTTTGTGATGAAAACTTGAGGTGTAAAGCAGCCAAATTTTTTATGTTGTTTCACTGTCTTGAAACCCAAAGGAGCAGAATTATCACATGCTAAAGTAGAGCAGAAGATTAACAGAAGACAGGCTGTAGAATATCAAATACTAGGGTCAACATAAGTTGCAAAGCAGTTAGATTTCATAGTTCTAACGAGCCAGAGGATCATCTATCTCCAAGTCTGACGCACAGAATAGGTGAACAGATTAGTATGCAGAAAGATCAAACCTTGATCACTGACTGTGGAATGTTCCGACAGAGTACAGCTCCCCAACCTGTGTACAATGAGTGGAAACCACCTTTTCCAATTATTCCAACTAGTGCATTCCTGCAAAGACATATTAAAGTAACACGGGAATAGCAATCAATAATGGAATGATTCTCCATGAAGGCAACATTAAACAGTGTCCAGGACAAAGTAAGAAGTACAGAACTTCAAATAAGGCAATACCAGTATGTCAAAGGTATACCAGCAATTGTTATAGTGAGAACCAATTTGCATCTGCTGCTTTATACGTTCACTAGGAGTAAAAACAAAGGAAGTTGCAATGCTTGCACAACCGCCTGCAATGCAGTGGGCAAAAGAATGATATTCCTGCAAAAGTTAATGGTTAAGGCTTTTAGAAGGCGTACAAGGATCACATTATGGTATAAAACAAAAGACATGCACAAAAGCAATACACAAGCAGCATATGCCACTCTTTTTTTTTTTTTTTAAAAAAAACCTTTTCCTGTACACAAAGGGTAGAAACATCAAAAACAAGGAACAACAAAAAAGTTGGACAAAGTGAAAAGAATAAATGGAACCTTGGGAAACAGAGGAAGCAAATATCCTTTTGCTGATTCATATGTAAAAGCGTAAATTGCAGAAATTGGAGCTGATGATGCAATATTGCTACCTATTCCACGATAAAGCCCGGTCACACCTAAAAATTCCATCTTGATCAGTACATGATGCCAATACTGCCACAAAAAACAACAACCAGAAAGCCAAGAGGAAGAACAAGTTTTATAAACTACCAACAAGCACAATCACCCTCAACTTTTCACACTAGAATTTACCTCTTTCAGAAACAATAGATCTGCCAATGTAGGAGATAGACTTCTGCTCTGCAGGGCAAGACTGGATGACTGTCTTTACTGTATCTATAGGATGCAGACAAAGGCTAACAAAAATACCAGCAAATGCACCCGCAAAAGCATGCTCTTGCTTAGCAAAGGCATGCTGAGGGCTTTCACGTGCTGATGACTGAATTTGTATTCCATTTGTGTCCTCAGTGTCAATGTTATGAGATTTTTCTTCTCTTGCATTTTCAGGCACGTTACAATCACCAGTGTTTTTGAAATGTTCATATGTACTCTTATAATGTGCTAAACAGTTAATATGATAATCAGTACAAAGAATAGAATTTGGAGCTCTTGAAGCACTACCATTGACATTAATATCCTGGAGAGCCCCAAGGAAATAGTCAGAGCACAGAGAGCTGGATTTTTGTATAGTCACTGCTCTTGCATTATCACACAATGCTGCCTCTTCTGATTTGACTGAATCAGAATAACAGTCAGCAGTTCTAGAAGCTAAGTTATTTGCAGGATTAGTTGGATTTCTGGAGATGCAACCTTCTATGCTGCTGATTGTGCTTCCTGAAGTGCTGCTTTTACTGGTCTTCTTGTCCTCAATCTCACTGAAGTTGACAAGATCTTTTGATCCAGCAGGAATCAGTTCCTTCATCCAGCCATATATCTTATCCAATTCATTTGCAATACCCGCAGTTGCAAGACCCTTTCCCTCCCAAGACTCATTCCGCGAGCTCGTACCTCTGTTCAAAAACCGCCAGAACAGCAAACGGCTATAATTTCTACTACAAGGTTCAAACATCAACATCTTCTGAGTTACTTTAAGAAACTCAAACTTTGGCTGTACCATCTGTGTAACATGGCTACCGGTTCTTTTATCAACACAAAAATATTTAGTATAATCATCTAGAATAGCTTCCCTGCCAAACCCTGCCCCACCCAGATCATTCAAGATGACATTTTTCTGATCCTTGGCTTCAGAAACAGCATCAGGATTCAAAAGATTCCAAATCTGCCCAACTGCAGAGACAAGCTCAGTCGTGCTCAATATTTCTGGCGATGTAGTAGTTCCAGATTTGATGCTGCTCAATTCATTATTCTTGGCAACGGAGGGGTAATGTCCATCATGGACAAAATCAGCAAGGTCAAAAGAGACCCCCCATTTCGGTTTCTCTCGTAAGTAATTGAAGGAAGCTGATCACTTCTACCAGGCCTTTTGCCCCCATACATTTTGTTACAAATCTATCAAGACTTCCCTTGAAAAACCAGACAGTACAGCATCACTATCTTGAATGCAAAAGTAACTGCAAAAACAGATTGAATTTTTAAATACAAATCACAACAAACTTCTTAAATCCCAAATAGTTCACATAATGAAAAACCCAACTTCCTTATGATTGACTGAAACTAATAGCAAAACCCACTTGCTGCAATCAAATGCAAAACTGAACAATGTAGTTCCAATTCAAAAAAGTACACTTTTTTACATGACAGCAGCCACAAGCAACTAAAAACCAGTTCATAACAACAAAAATTGAGGCCATTTTAGAGCTTTCTCAGTATCCGAACAGAATATAAACAAAAAGTCAAACGTTTATAAGAGTTTGACGAGTTTTAGAGAAAGCTCAGACCTTGATGAGTTGACTTGTTCTCCAGCTGAAAGCAGCAGTATCTGTTTTGATGCTTGAATCATTTTCCAGAGAAAAAATATTGAAGGAAATTGGGGTTTTATGAGGGTTTCTATTTGAATTTGTGATGCCATTTTTAAGCTTAAATTCTATCCAATTTTTGCTTTCCTGTGATCTGGTGATAGGCCCCACAGATTCTTGTCTGTTGGAAAATCGAATGTTTGGACTTTATTTAATGGGCCTTTACCAAGCAGAAGAGTAATATAATTTACTTGGAAATATAGGTCCCAAACTTATTTTTCGAATAATATCAGTTATTGATGGATGAACTCAAATTAATTTATCCCATGTAGCACCCATCATCCAGCAGTAGATATTCTAAAATAAAAATAAATTTTCTAATCGACTTTTTTTTATAGCCCAACGTCATGAATAAGTGAATTTTTAGATTATATGATTAAGAAGGTGTATAACCTCGATTTTTACTATAAATGACGCCGCACGATTCAAATCTGATTGTTGGAACTTAAATGACGCAGCACGATTCTAGCGAGTTAAGGGTCATATGCTTTTTACTATAAATATCAATTTTACATCAATGAGAAGATATTTTAACTTTTTAATATCTAGCAAGACTTTTAAACTCTCTCTTTCAAAACTCTCATACTTATACAATATAACATCTAAAACTTCATCCGTTTGGATTTTGATTTTCCACTTGCCAACTACTCTACTTGCGTCTTACTAGCAATATATACTCTTTCTCTCACACTTTTCAATACTTGCATATATTTACTTAATTGGTTATTTGTTATTTTATAAGTTACAATACTAACTCTTAATATTTTATCTCGTCTACTAATCAATCATTTTATCGGTTTTTAAAAACCTTCTACACATATTTTGGTGACTTCACTTTAGAGTTAGTGATTGTAAAAAAAAAAATAGCTCATTTCAAGATCTCTAAAAAGAATACTAATTTCATAACCAACTCAATCGCCTAGAATAATGATGATAATTTATCCGATCCCAATGACAATATTAACAACACCAACATGCTTAACGCTCATAACTCCCAAGTTGGTAGCGATAGCTTACAAATGCTTTTAAGAGCCGACTAGCCTTGACCCACTACTTATGCTCCTACCACGATTGTTACATAATCGGACTATGAGCTTTTCATATTCGGTTTTCCTTCTAATGGCAACGTCATGCCCAAATGGCCAAGCGACACGTTGGAAAGGTCGTGAAATTTAATGCTCAATTTTTCTTTTTAATGTCAATGACATGTTTATCCGGCCAAGATATATGCTAATCGAGTCGTAAGCTTTTCATGCTCATTTTTTTCCCATGATAACGCCATATCCATTAAGCTAAATTGTGAGTTAGCTAGGTCGTGAGATTTTTATACTCATTTTTTTCTTGATGGCAATGACATGTCCATCCGGCCAAACTATGAGCTATCTAGGTCTGTGAACTCTTTATGCTCAATTTTTTTTTCGATGGCAATGCCATATCCATGTGATTAAGTTGCATGCTTGCTTGACTACAAGCTTGGTATGCCCAATTTGTCTTTTTGATGCCAAAACCATATTCATCTAGCTAAGCTATGCATTAGCTAGGTTGTGAGTATAAAAATTATTCTCAATAAAAAGAAAATTTTAATCTCATTTTTATTAATTGAACATTCAATAATAGTTCTTGCCTCCTCAACAATTGATAGCTCGAAACTTAAAGAAGATTTAAAAGGTACTTAAGAACTGTTGTCTCTCTATATTATTTTGTCAATATCAAAATAAACATCAAAATATTTTCTAAAAACAGTGATGAAAATAATGTCTAAGACACTAATAACTTTAAGAATCATTCACATATGCGTTGATTTTTAAAATCCTACTTGATGAGATCATTATCGTTACTAAGTATGAATTTTTTTATTGATATATCTCTTCACTTGAGAGCTCTCTTTCAATCAAATCTTGACTAATCTGAAAAAGAGGAAAAAAGTCAATATACTCACCTAAAATTTTAGACGTGGACTATAAGGTGACATGACATTTGATATGGTACTTGGAGACTACTTGTTTGTCAAAAAATTTCTTTACTTATACTTAGCTTCTTCTTCTTTTTTTTTTTTTTCATGTGAATCTAATTGATACAAAAATAATGGCTTAACAAGTCAATAGGCTTGACCATTTTTATTTTTATTTTTTGAAAAAAATATGTTGACAAAAAAAATATTTATGCTTTTAATCATCAAACACTTCTTGTCATATATATATAAGTGCACTTGCTAGTAACGAAAGGGATGAGGCGTTATCAATGAGCCGGTTATTTGCTACTTGTGCCATCGATTCTAGTGGTGTTGATTAATGAAGTCGATCAAATAAATGCGAGTATCCGGGGGTTGCGATTTTATAAGGTTACGGGTACATTGAATCGATGGGGATTTGAGCCTCGATAGATATGCTTGGAGAAGATTGTTTCATATTTAACTACTAAATCAATTAATACAAACAAAAATCACGGTGTTGATTGTCCATGGAATGATTGTGTTACGAAAGTTCAAGTTTTATTTATGCTCAAAATTTGGTGGAATACCCTATGTTGAAGAAGATTTCGGGTTTTCAATTTTATTTCATCATCTTCGGAACCAATTCTTTACATGCTTTTGCTTTGAATGTTACCATATTCTTGCTTATGGGAAAGACGTTAACTTTGACCACGAACGTGGCCGAGTGGTTACGGATTGCTTGTTGTTGATTGTCATGACTTAGGAGCTTTCGGTCATGTTCCAATATTCAACTTTATTAGTCATGTTCCAATGTTTAAGGTTGTCGGTCATGCTCAATGTCCATCCTTGTTCCTAAAGTTTAGGAGATAGTGGAGATAACATTAATCATGTTTATTTTAATTATGTCCATGTTTCTAGAATTTAGGAGTTGTTTTTTTAGTTGGAAGTTAAAAGTTTATTTATTTAAAATGATGCTTTACATTAATAAAATTGTAGAAGAGATTTCACTCTTAAAAAAAATAATATTGCTCATATTGTTACTACAATTTGTTTCTATCAAACACCAAAAACAATAATTGGTATCGAGCATTGTCTTGAGGGAATTGTGAGATTGAGTGAGCCTTAAACACATATTCTAAGCCTACAAAACATAAAATCCTACAAACAACTTTATGGAATTAGAAGCATCGGTTTCACTATCAATCTTTAATGGTGAAAATTATCAAACTTAGGTTATTCAAATGATAGTTTATCTTGAAGCTTTAATCTTTGGGACCCATTAGAGGATAATTATGATGTTCCTACATTGGCGACCAATCCAACTATGTCTCAACTTAAGAATCACATGGAGAAAATATAAGACTAGTGGCCTAATAGGGAGCCGAGAGTGCTACTATACTCGTCACACACCCGAGGGTACTACGCAAGCATAGGAAAACTCAAATGTCCGATTGATGTGATTAATAGAAAACCAAGCATTAATCCCACTGTGTCTGCAAAGCTCCAACCATTAATCAATCATTGTAGCTCTTTCCAAATGAATTAGGAGAAAAGTTGGACTTTTTTTCTCTTTTGGATTCATTGTAAGAAAAGACTCCAATATAATTTTGGATTTGGATTCTCTTGTGCTTAAAAGAAAATATGACTAGTCAAGTTTTAAATGTCGCTTTTGATTATAAATTCAATTATCCGAATTAAATAAAAATAAATAAATAATAAAGAGTTAAGTTGGTTATTCCATTTGAATTTAATGATTTCAATCTAATAAACATAATGGTTATGATCTTTAAAAATATGAGAGGATTTCAATCCATAATTTCTAGCATTAATAGTATTTACGAGGTAGTTTTTTTTACATACAATTAAAATTGTGTCTAATTTTATTATGCTTATAAATAAACGACTTTTGATCTAAAGTAAAATTGTTTAGTAAACAACTTATTATATATATATATATATATATATATATATATATATATATATATATATATATATATATATATATATAAAGGTATATTATTTCATATAATTGTGAGTATAAAAATTATTCTTAATAAAAAAGAAAATTTTAATCTCATTTTTGTTAATTGAACATTCAATAATAGTTCTTGCCTCCTAACAATTGATAGCTCGAAAATTAAAGAAGATTTAAAAGGTACTTAAGAACTGTTGTCTCTCATATTATTTTGACTATATCAAAATAAACATCAAAATATTTTCTAAAAACGAGTGATGAAAATAATGTCTAAGACACTAATAACTTTAAGAATCATTCACATATGCGTTGATTTTTAAAATCCTACTTGATGAGATCATTATCGTTACTAAGTATGAATTTTTTTATTGATATACCTCTTCACTTGAGAGCTCTCTTTCAATCAAATCTTGACTAATCCGAAAAAGAGGAAAAAAGTCAATATACTTACCTAAAATTTTAGACGTGGACTATAAGGTGACATGACATTTGATATGGTACTTGGAGACTACTTGTTTGTCAAAAAATTTCTTTACTTATACTTAGCTTCTTCTTCTTTTTTTATTTTTCATGTGAATCTAATTGATACAAAAATAATGGCTTAACAAGTCAATAGGCTTGACCATTTTTATTTTTATTTTTTGAAAAAAATATGTTGACAAAAAAAAAATATTTATGCTTTTAATCGTCAAACACTTCTTGTCATATATATATAAGTGCACTTGCTAGTAACAAAAGGGATGAGGCGTTATCAATGAGCCGGTTATTTGTTACTTGTGCCATCGATTCTAGTGGTGTTGATTAATGAAGCTGATCAAAATAAATGCGAGTATCCGGGGGTTGCGATTTTATAAGGTTATGGGTACATTGAATCGATGGGGATTTGAGCCTCGACGGATATGCTTGGAGAAGATTGTTTCATATTTAACTACTAAATCAATTAATACAAACAAAAATCATGGTGCTGATTGTCCATGGAATGATTGTGTTTTGAAAGTTCAAGTTTTATTTATGCTCAAAATTTGGTGGAATACCCCGTGTTGAAGAAGACTTCGGGTTTTCAATTTTATTTCATC